CAACAGTGCTGAGGTCTTCTCTGTCTTGTTTAATTCTGTAGAGACACTGATGTTGAAATGAAATAGCACATGATCCTAGTGGAATTAAGCCAAATCTCTTTAATCTGCAGCTTACTTTTTCTCCTTAAATTGGCTAACATTGCCTGAATTGACTGTAGGAACCTTCTGTATTTGGACAAAGATTTTATCTGCATCCAAGATACCTCTGCTTTAATTAGGAAAAAACCCTGCAACTACCCCTCAAGTCTTTTCATGTCTCCAGCATGTCTGTTGTAACAGATTAAAGTTAACAACAGTTAAATCAGGGGAAAAATACTCTTCAAAAACGCAGCTCTTCTGTATCTCTTTTTTTTTTTTTTGAACAGTGGGAGGGGTTATTCTCTCCCAACACGTTTTAAAAGTACTGTGCCTTTTGCTATGCTCCTGCAAAATCTTGATTTTAACAGAAATTATTCCTAGGGAAATCTTCATGGAACACAGAATTTTTAAAATTAAAAATAAAATTTGGAGCCAAATAAGTAACACGTTATGCAGAAAATTATGCAAAAGAATAAAAGTTGCAAAAATCTGCAGATGCTAGAAAAGACTGGAGACTTAAAACAGGCAGATGTAACTTTTTTACCAACAGCAAGCATTCATAAACCCTTTGAGATATAAACCATATATGGATGCTGGCCTTCAGGACTTGAGACTTGCATGATAAATAGGGAAAAATATAAAAATTCCCATGGAAAAAGAAGGGGAAAATATTTTGAGAATTGTTATCTTGTTTCAATGCTCACCAGGAAAATCTGGTAAACAAAGGCCTAGCAAAGCATTAAGGTCATGAGAAGAAATAACAGATTATTAAGGGAATGGTCAAGTAATCAGTACAGAAAAGAAAGGATTCATCTGTTTTGACTAAGGAGGTGCTTGTGTTAGAAATAAAAAAAAAGAAAAGAATTCTGATACAGATATTTATTTTACACAGGGGACCTGAGCAAACATATGGAAGAACCTGACTGACTAGGAATGTAATAACATTGATAGCAAAGACATGAAGGCATAACAAGTATTAAAGGTACACACTTGCCAGGAATGCAGGAAAGAACAAAACAGAGATAGACGTGGTATGTAGCAGATGTGAGAGACTTTGACAATAATGTTATTGATTCTTTCTTCATCAGCTGTTTGGATGAATTCATCTTGAGAATGGTTTGGAAAACAAAGTTTAGTCACAATGGTATTGGGAAATAATATAGAAATGTTCATTGATACAATATGACTCTCTTAAATATTTGCTCTTCTACATGTAGATGTTTACCTCATTGCTAGGTCTTTTAATTCCTACTATAGGCAGTTACAGGTCTTATTACTACAGTCAGCTGAGTAAAGAGATTTGTATCTAGATTTATTTGGTTGGCATCTTCAGTGGTATAACTGTGTAAGCAAAGAGTCTTGAAGATGTTTCAGTGCACAATAGCCCGTTACTGCTCCAGAAAGTTGTGTCTTATGTAATTCATGTGTGATATTTGCCACATGTGAACATCTTGGACTCTCTAGAACAGCTCAGGTGGAACTGAGTTGAGCTCCTTAGCTGCTTAGCTGAATGTATAACTCCACATCATTGATTGTCTTCACTGTGACTCTTAGCAGGAATTCAGTTCACATTTGGACCCTCAAATGCAGATACACACACCTCAGATTGAATCTCATCCTTCCTGTCAAATATACATATAAATATAATATTTGGATGGATGAATTTGGATATAATATTATTAGACTACTGACAGAAATTGTATCATATGTTAGACTAGTAAAGACTAAAAACCAAGTGCTAATAATGATAAGGCATAAAACTCAATGAATAATTAACATATTTTATCAGAAAATAGCAGATAAAAGGGTCACAGTGCTATTTTGATTTTTAAAATCTACAAGAACATTGCAGAAAAGACAGTCAAAAAATCTGTCAGATCAAGTGATCACAAATTCATTCACTTTAAACTAAACATGTATATATTTCCCAAGTTTTAAATAAAGGAAGAAACAATAAAATGCAAGAGAAAGGAAAAATAGCTAATGTCAGTAAGGGCTTGGAAGAAGAAATGACAATAGTGAAATCCTAAGGAAAACTCAAAGAGATGGGTACACTTAAAATGAGGGGAATGGGTAATCCATATCTCAGGATTCTGAAAGAACTGGCTTGTCACATCACTGCTCTGATAACAAGTAATAAACATCTAATAAACATGTGCACATTATGTGCACTGGAGAAAAGCACCTTTTTAAAGTTTTAAGATAAAGAGAGGAATAGTTGTTGCAAAATGAAATTGAAATATGGATATATTAAAAGGGGCCCATGGTGGGCAAACCTGTTGACATTCTGTGATAAAACAATACATTTGTTGTCACTATAAATGCAGTAATCTTGTTCACTGTGACCTCTGACAAAGATATCATGTCGCATGGGAAGTGACTGATTAATTTGGAGAAAATGAAAATGAGTAGATTTGTGAAAGGAGTAAAGAGCTGGCAAATGGAACATGATAGCAGTGATTAGTGAAGGAGTCTGCTGGGAGAGTACAAGCAGAGGTCTTCCAGGACCAGGTTTATGATGAATCTTAATATTTAATGCATGACCTTGATACACAAAGTAGAATTAGATTGTGATATCTCTCTCCTGAAACCAATTATATAATATAATTGGGATCTGGATGTGGTTTGGAAAAAGAAAGACAGTGAAGGCTAGATTATTAAAGAGGTGAGTAAAATTTAATAGTGTATACCAAAGGATTTAGAAAATAGTAAAGAAATTATGTTTTGAATTGAAAACCAATACAACTGCAGAGGAGTATCTGGTTATTCTAGCTGATGCCTTGTTGACTGTGAGCCATCATTGTGCAGCTGTGCAAAAGGAAAATGCAATCCTAAAATTTATATAGGTAAAGAAATAGAATCACTGATATTGTTCAAGGCAGTGAGATGGGTTTTGGAGTACTGTGTACTGTAGGCCAGTTCTGTTCTCCAGCCACAAGAAGGTTGAGCTCCAGCCTGGTGTACAAAGAGGTTACTGAGGTGATTCAATGAAAGGACAGCCTGCTGTGTGAAAGGTAATTTTTGCAAGTTCAGCATAATCATTCTAGTAAAATGAATGTGGAAAAGAGATGCTCATGTCTTCAGTCTATACATGCAGGGGACAAACACCAGGGAGGAAGAACAGTTATTTACAACACATTCAAGTACAAGGACAAACAGCTGTAAACTGACCTTGAATAATAATAGAATTATAGAATGTTTTGGGTTGGAAGAGACCTTAAAGACCATTTAGCTCCAGTCCCCCTGCCATGTGCAGGGACACCTTACACTAGATTGTCTTGCTCAGAGTCCCATCCAGCCCCAAAGACCTCCAGGGATGTGGCATACACAACTTGTCTGGGCAACCTGTATCTGTGCCTCACCACTCTTACAGTAAAAAATTTATTCCTAATATCTAATCTAAACTTATTCTCTTTCAGTTAAAAGCCATTACCCCTTGTCCTGTCACTACATACCTTTGTAAGAAGTCCCTCTCTGGCTCTCTTGTAGGCCCTCTTCAGGTACTGGAAGGTGCTATAAGGTCTCCCCAGAGCCTTCTCTTGTCCAGGCTGAACAACCCCAACTGTCTCAGCCTGTCTGCAGAGGAGAGGTGCTCCAGCCCTGTGATTTTTGTGGTCCTTCTCTGGTCCTTCTCTGCTGCAACAGGTCCAGATCCTTATCTTGGGAGCCCCAGAGCTGGATGCAATACTCCAGGTGGGGTGTCAAGAGAGCAGAGCAGAGGTGGGCAATCACTTCCCTCAGCCTGCTGGCCACACTTCTGATGCAGCCCAGGACACAGCTGGCTTTCTGGATTGCAAGCCACATTGCCAGATCATGCCAAGATTTTCATTTGCCAACATCCCTGAGTTGTCCTTCTAAAGACCACTCTCAATCTATTCTCTGGAAAGGATACACATTCTCTCTAGACTTCCTATTATCACTAACATACGTATACAAGATTTTCTTGTTGCCCTTGACATCCCTGGCCGTGTTTGATTCTGTCAGGGCTGTAGCTTTCCTAAACTGATCCCTGACTGTTCAAACAAGCCTAGTATTCCTCCCAGAATACCAATCTATGTTTCTACCCTCTCTGACCCACTCTGGGCTTCCTTCTTATGTTTGAATTTGTTCAGGAGCTATTTGTTCATCCACACAGGCCTCCTGACATGTCTGCCCAAATTCCTCTTTGTTATAATGCAGTGTTCCTGAACTTGGAGGGTGAAACTATGTTAGAGACTTGTATAATAATGTCTCTATTGGATGGAACGGATCAAATTATGAATGGGATTATGAAAATCAGTTTCCTTTGTTAGGAGGAGAGGAGCACCTGCTTGGGTATGTGGTTTACTTCCGTTAGACAGCAAGCAAAGATTTGGCCAGTGCCAGCAACCACAAATGGACTCTACTGCTGTTACTCATTCCAATTGCAGACAAGGTAGATGGCTGCACACCTAAGGCAGTCTCTCCATAAAGTACTGCTTCTTAGCCAAATTGGTGTGAGTTACCTTTGATGTCCCATGTGGCTCTTCAACCAGTCCAGCAGCTCTCTCAGCAAGTGTTTTATAAATGGATGTGCTCGTAAGATGTGAAATCTTCCTACCAAAAAAGAGCCGCTAGGAGGAATTTTGGTCACAGCAATGGAGCAATTCTGACTGGTCACCACAAGATGACTTTGTTAAAATGCCAGGGAGCAGCAGCGTGGAAAACTGTACTTGCATCATTTTAACACAGTGGAAATGTGTATTGCATAGCTGATAATTGTAGCATATGCTTAATTGCTTTTGTCTCTGCAGTGTGCCAGCCAGAAGCATAAAAACAAAAGATGTACAGGAAACAAAGAGAATGACAAACATCAATGCTTGAAGAATAGGGACCATGGTGATGACATCTTTATAGAGAATGGAAATAGTTTAAAACCACTGCTTTATTTACCATAACCACAGGGTTCCTTGAAGAGGGTTCTTAAACAGCTGGAAGAAGAGAAGAAAAGTCTCCAGAATCAGCTAAAAGACTATGAACTTAGACTGGAACAAGAAGCAAAGGTTTGTAATCACTCTATCCCTCTAGACTATAAAAGCTGTTATGTTGTGTGACAGACGCCGTGTAGAACACACAGTAGAATAGTTTCACAAAATGTGTCACTGAAGAAAGTCTTTGCTGTATATCTGAATTTTCTGTATGATTCAGCTTTTAAAATTTGTGCTTAATGATAGCCCATATATCATTTTAACTGTAGGCTTACCACAAAGTTAATGATGAGCGGCGCATGTACCTCTCAGAGATCTTAAAGGTAAGAAACCCGTGTGACTCAGCAACTTTTAACGCTTTCTTAATATAACAACAACACATGTTAATGCCATTAGATCAGGGTGTTCTATCATTTCATTTGTATACCAAATATGTTACAAAGGCTGCTTTTTAAAAATTTAAAACCCATAAATTGAAAGACTGTACAATTTATTTTAAATACTTTCTTTTTGCTTTTGTCTCCATTGGAGTTTGTGTTCCCTAGCATAGTAAAGTGCCCATAACTGGGAAAACTGAAGCAATTTTCTGATGCTTGGCCATCCATTAGTCACAAGAGTGCTATGCAGTTGAACAGAACAGAAGCAAATTATCAGCAGTAGTGAAACCCACCTTAAGTAGTAATTGTTCCTTTTCATATTTCTCCTTTTTGTCTTTTAAAGACAAGCTATCTGACCAGTTCAGAATGAAATACAACACATATTTCCATTAACTTCATAAAAGAGGGATAAGACACCTTGTTTTGGCGAAATCACAGGTTAAATTTTATTGCTGCAAATTATGTAGTACATGGAATTTTATCCTACAAACTGGAGAAACCTGTAAAGGAATCTGTAAAGATTTACAGTACTTCTTATTCTAGAAAAGCTCTAAATTCCTAAATAATGTAAAAGTAATAGCTTAGTGTGATATTCAAGAATTGCTGCCACTGAGTCCCTTTCATAGCTAACTGGGGTAAAAGCCTGTAATTAGCAATGTTGCCATGTGTTTGCACAGTGGGCAACTGATTCCCTTACATGGTTCATTGCTACTTTGGGAAATCTAAAAGAATTGCTTAAATGAACTTTCCAGCATGAAACCAAGAAAAAGCCTGGGAAATGCTCATGATAACTGTTAATATCTTTACATTAGCAGTGAAACTGAGAAATTCTGGAGGAAGAAAGAAAATAAAAGCAGATTTTATTACTGAACATGCTAGCAAGAGAAGTGCCTATGTTCAGCTCCCTGTAAAAACACTTAAATATTTGTAAAACACCATTTGTAGTGAGGTATATGCACTGGCATGTTGCATAGTGAGGCATTGGGGTCTAGGATTTTGGCATCAACACTCAAGGTTAGTGCATTATACTTTCAGCAATTACTTATTTACTCTCATGATTTCAGTATCATATGAGAGCAAAATAATCTTCAGATTAATATTCCTATCTTTAGTTCTCTAAAAATCAATAACCCATTCTAAAGTAGGTGTAGAGGAATCATCTGTAATCTCTGAAGAAAGAATCATGTGTAAGGTGGAAAGTATCACATCTGTTTTAGGTCAAGATGGAATTGATTTCCCCAGGGACTTTTCTGTCCCTCCTCCTGAGCTCTAAGCAGAGCCTAAGTGAGTAGCTTACATTAAACATCTACCTTGTACATTACTGATCTGAGCAGGGCAGTCACCCCCATGTCTCAGCTACTGTGTGCAGTTTTGAGCACCTCAGTCTAAGAAGGGCATCAAACTACCTGAGTGTGTTCCAGGGAGGGTGAACAGTGTGGTGTGGCCTCAAGGGCAAGTTTTATGAAGAGCAGCTGAGGTCACTTAGTTGGTTCAGCTGTGATGAGAGAAGGCTGAGGGGTGACCAGATTGCTAAGCAGTGACCTCACCCCACACTACACCTTCCTCCTGGGGAGCAGAGAAGGGGAAGATGCTGATCTCCTCTCCATGGTGACCAGTGATAGGACATGAGGAAAGGGAATGAAGCTGCATCAGGGGAAGTGCAGATTGAACAATAGTAAAAGGGTCTTCGTTGAAAGGGTGGTCAATCACTGGATCATAATCTTCAGGGAATTGGTCATAGCACCAAACCTGTCAGACTTCAAAGAGCAGCTGGATGACACTAATTTTAGGTAGTCCTGCAAGGAGCAGGAAGTTGGAATTGATGATCCGTATGAGTCCCGTCCAACTTGAGATATTCTGTAATTTTGTGGTTTACTGTTGATTTCAGAAGGATCAGTGGTTTATCTGTTCCCTACAGGTCTTCTTCTGCCATGACTTTGGTTTGACTTTTATATTATTTTAAAATCTGCATATCTCTTTTAACAGTTCACTTTAGCAATAGAGGCAGAAGTAGACCTACATTCAGTACAGACTTTCAACTGTATTAAAATATCAATGTTCTAGAGTCTGCACACTAATATTGGCTGCGGTTAATTTAGAAGGATTTACCCATAGGCTAACAATTTCTATACCTTGCACAGTAAATATGCCACAGGGTATTGCTATCCTGTGACAACAATGTATCCTAGTGACACCCTCTCACTTACAGAGGATAGATGTAGTGTTCTTTTAAGCCTTTGTTTTTTCTCATTATGTTTGTAATTTTTTAATAGCTGACAGTAAGAAAAGAAATCATAGAATGAAAGTTTTTTTCTGGTAGGTATTAAAAAAATACCAGGTGTTTTAGGTTTTTCCTGCTTTGTTTTGGATCCCTCCTGAAGCCTGTGGCAGAAACAGAAGACAAAGATGCTTCTGAGCAGCCATTTCTTTTATTTACCTTTTTATTACTGAGTACTTATATACTTTTCTTTTATATTCTGAGTGCTTTTGATGTTTGTCTTGTCTGGTCCATAAGGATGTAGTCAGTTTTAAATGATAGTTTTAAAATAAATTAAAAATTAAATAAATATTAAATAAAATTAAATATTAAATAAATTAAAAATTTCACAGTCTTGAGAACTCATGCTAGAGGCACCAATGGCTTCTGGTGTATTCTTGTTTGCTTTTTTTGTTTTGTTTTTAATCGGCAAAGCATTGGTTTGGGATTGGTGTCCACAGATCTTAAAGGCACTCTCTGATGGTGTTCAGAAATCAATGTGAGAGCCAAGCAAAGAACTATAGTGGTTCTTTAAAAGGACATTCTCTCAGGCTAGATTTTTGCCACAAATTGTTGCTAGCATAGTGGAATCTGACTTGTGACTGGGATTTCTTTGCAGAAAAGGCCCAGGGTTATAGAACGCTACAGCTGGAAAGCTGCTTGTACAACAATGGCTAATTTTAGTTGGGATAGGCCTGGAGTAAACTGTACCAGCAAAAAGAATGCTATGGATAATAATCATATATACTAGCACTCTATATTCATATAAATTAAAAAAAACAATGAAGGCAACCTTGGCATTGCTCTTGCCTTGTATGTCACAGAATCACATCTCCTCAGATATGATAAGGTGATAAATTATACTAGCCGTCATCTTTAATACTGGAGTTCCTCAAGTACAAAAATTTCTTGCCTTTGATAAAGTAGATCTGTGCAAATCCTATTTACTTCTGTAGCTGTGATTGTGGCTAGGATTTAACTTGTTTTATAAAAATTTGGCTATTGCAGGTCTCAGCTAAACTTAAAATTATTGAAAGGCAACAAAAAGATGCTGTGACTGGCAAAGGAGAAAAACAGATACTGATGTAAATTTCCTTTATATTCCCTGTTTTTTGGTTTATTATTTTTTGCTAAGTACTATGTTTTGAACATTCCAGCTTTCTGTTCATGATAAATATCACAGCATAATCCCACTGACATTACTTAACATAATTTTTATATTGCTTTTCAATCAGTTTTATTTAATGCAAATGTTGAAAATACATATGTTAAATCATTGTTCAACAGACTTCTGTTTAGTTATATGGATTAGACATATAAATTTGAAAACTGTCCACCTGCTCTGAGATATATAGAAATAAAATTAATTTCTGATTGTAATACTCATGAATAAGCTTGAAATTGGAGATTTATTTTTTAACTGAACTGAATAAGTTAAGAATATAAAGTGTGAGGAATATAGGGAGTATATATCAAAAGTTTGTTGGACCCAGTCACGTGCCTCCAGTGAGAGGTGCCTACAAAAGTGTGGAAGTAAGCAGATATAATACTTAATTTTGAAATTCTCCCAAATACTTTATATTTGGAGACTTCCTAAGCTAGTATGGTTTCTATGTATTTAGCATCTCACAGTCCTATATTATCTCACTTACCTGTATTATTAAAATGTGCATACACAATATATATTTGGATCATCTAAAAATGTAATGAATAAATTATAAACATGGTATTGTGTAGACATAATTTGCTTACCGGCCTTTTCCTTTCATTCTGTGTAAGCACAGGATCATAGGATTTCATAAACTGGAACAGTGAATCTTCATGTTCCAGGAGAGGGTATGAGTAGAATATGAATTAATGCAGTACAATATGAATTCATTTCTGTAACTGAAGTTCCTCAATACATAAGAAGCACTGTGTGGGTTTGAAGTGCCCCATATGCCGCTGTATCACTTCTGGCCCCGGTGATATTTAACAAGGTCAGAAAGCTAGAACCAGGAGGATTCACTGCCTCTGCAATGAGATTAAATATCATCAGCCAGATACAGAGGTTTGCTGAGGGTTAGCACTGATCTGTGATTATGGTGGGTTTTTTTAACAGTCTACTTTAGTATACCATTACTTACGCTGAAATTATATGACAATGTCTTTCTGTATTTTTCTTTTTATCAAACAAAAGAAAATAAAGTGTAAAAGAAAATAAAGTATCCTGTAACTACTGGTATCAGAAGATGTGTGGTATAACAAAATATATATCTCCTTTCAATCCAGTTTCCCTAAGAGGATTTATTTTACTTTTCAATGTTCTTTAAACACATGAAGATAAATTTTCATCCTTTAAAATGTCCTTAGTATAAAAGCACTTAGTTTTCAAACAATTGGCATTTATACTCAGTGACTTAGAACTTTCAGGACAAACTTTGATCTTTGCTGGCAACATGAATGTAAGAATGGAGATTTGGCACAGTTAGTATTTTAAGAAAATATTAGAATATAAGTATGCATCCCATAAACATCACAAGGTCACTACAGCCATTTTTACATTATTCCTTTTTAATTATGCTTTGATTTATAGCCTGGGGGTTGTTTGTTCAAGATGACAATAATGAGAAGTAATTTCAGTAAAATAAGAGAAGAAGCGCATGTTCTTGAGAATGATTTGAGAATTTTCTGTCTAGAGTTCTTATCTCACCTCTGCTGCTCTTTTACAAAATATCTGCTTTGGAATTCAAACCACACTAAGAAATTGGTTAATGCTTGTTTTAACTATAGCAACAGGTACAGAAAGCCCAACCTGTGTATTAAACCAACACTGAAAACATTTTTGGGTAGTAGTTGTGAACACTAATTGTTGATACATTCAGTTTCCTGGCCATCCCAAACAGAAGCAAGTTCAGCAGTTGCTTTTTGTGGTTATTACAGAACAAGAAGATAGGCTAGCTGACAGTTGGAAGGACATGGATATCTTGATGGTTTATATCTCTAATGTAATTTGAGTGGCCAATTTATTGTCATTCTGACCCTTGCTGTTGCACTGAGATTTTCGGTGGGGCTTATTAGCTCAGTTTCAACACTGCATTGCTGCAGTTATCTGGCTTCTAAGCCTGTAAGTACAGCTGATTTTGGGTGGAAGAGGTTTTGCTGCCTGAAGAATTCCACACAGGCATTTTCTGTTTGCTTTGTCCAGCTGTACAGTGATCTACAGTTTAATCAATTGGTTTTGAGTAATCAACTGATTTGAATTTGAATAATTAATTATCGAGCACACTGGGGTCTTGGATTGTGATCTTCCAGCTCTGAGTAGAAGTAGCTCCATATCTGTATGGAGACAGTTCTCCTTTCCAAGACCAAGGCTGCTTGTAAGAATTGAAACAAAGGATGTGTCAATCCCAAGAAGACTAGTGAGCCCTAGGTTTGACTTCGTTGACTCTTTCCCTACAAATTTGAAACTTACACAGATACCATCATTGTAGCTTCTATCACATACCTGGGCATCACGACAAATGTAATGGTGTGATGTGGTGATATATTTTCCTTGAAAATGCCTTTGCTTGAGAAAGGCACTGAAATTCTGTATATTGTTGTTAGAGTATGTAAAGTGCTGCCTTTCCTCTGCGGTAATGAACAGGAAGAGAAACAAAGGGATGTTGCACAGGAGCAGAGAGGCAGGCTTCTTGGTCAGGAGAATGACCCTTCCAGCTTGGGGAATCACCATTCTTTCCCTGGAGATTTTTTTACATTCCCACTGATTTCTTAGAAGATCAAGATGGAGTTCTAGCTGGTTTCATGTAGATGGTGTCTGTATCCATGATAAGTACCACTTCAAAAATCTGCTGGCAGGTCTCCTGCAGGCATTTCTGGTGATCATGGGCTCAAGAGCCTGGCTCTCCAGAGTGGAATACCTGCAGAGAGCTGTAACTACATCTACATGAAGTGTTTTCCCCTTTTCTGGTGGGAATTCTTTAACTGATGAAAATGTCTCTGTAGCCAGTTATCACTCTCCTAGTGCCAATATTTAGTATTCTGTTCATGTTCTACAATGACATCACTTAGGTAACAGGAATCATGAGATGAAGATTGAGTTTGCAGAATAATTAGATGCTCTGCTAACCTGCGAACCTAGAAATGTACTTGTTTTTTTTTGTTTCTCAGGTTTATTAATTCACAGTAGTAATCAGATATGCAAATGTAGAAAGCATGCACATTTTTAGCAGTTAAAACTTACAGGCAATGTGACATTTGCTGACTAACTTCACCCATTTTATTTCAGAGGAAGACACAGTGTTCCAGGAAACCCGAAGATGGTTTATCCTCAAAAATGATCAATTAAAATTACTGTAGGAGTGAACCAGCTTCCACAACTAAAGCATTGAATTAATATTAATGTCAAGAACTTCCAGTCACTTTTTAAAAAATTTAATTTGACTGAAAGTTTCTAAACAGAAAATGAAAGTATTTGTGTCTTATTGCAATGCCAGACACAGATTGGAATGCCTTCTTGGCTGCCTTAGTGTAAGTGTTCCTCTGCCTAATGGAATTTCTCTTCTAGTTGCCATCTTTGTACTGGTGATCTCTGACCCTTTCCATTCTGCTTCATATCAGTGATTCTGAGTGTGAGGGTGTTGGAAGTCTTAGAGAATATTTAATGTCTTTATACACTGTGTAGATCCTTGAACCCCGCAGCCACGGAAAACAAACAAGCCTCTATCTAGCATGTTTGACCTCTCAACCAAGAAGAAAAAGGCAGGCTGATGCAACCTTATACCTAATACCAAAAGTATTGTCTAAATAAAACTTTTTTTAAAAGCTGGCTTGCCACAGATCCTGTGTTGACTACCACTTTCTGTCTGCATGGTTTGGAAGCAAAGCACCATTTCCAGCTGATTTAATCACTAGTAATGGATAGAAATAACAAAAAATTGAGCACTTTTTATTAAGGAATCTTCAAAGCCTATCTCGTGGAATGGTTGTTTCTTTTAAACGCTATATATGAAAAAACAGATATCCTGATATTAGTATATTGCTCTTTGAAATTTGAACTCTCAGATGAACTCTTGTATCCACAGTCTCGGGGTCATAAAAATCTGTCCTCTTCAGTGGCATTGATCCTTGTACTTTTAGGGTCCACAGTAGTGCCAGTTCTAAGAGTCATCTCTTCAGTGAAAGTAGAACTCCTTTGTCTTTTTGTTCTTAAGCATGCAATTATTGATGCGGTTTTATTACCTACATTTTAGTCATTAAATATGGCAAAATTTTTTCAAGTGGCAATGGGAAAAATGTTTTGGTAATGAAGCCTCAGTCCTCTGGGTTACATCTTAAAAGCTCTTGGCAGAGCAAATGTGGTTGCTTGACTGCTCTTTATTATTTTAAGAGCATTCCTAACTCTTTGCAATAAAGTTTTTTTGCCTCTTTTAAGAGCAGTACTAATAGTTCCTTATTACTGGCAGCATTAAAGTGACACTGTCATTAAAATCACAGTAAAAGAGAAACCAATAGTGTAATTCTAAAATGCAGTGAAGAAAGACCTGAAGTATGGTACAGCATATTCAGTATGGAAGTCCCATTTTTTTCTCCCACATAGTGTGAAATTCGTTACAGATATTTGTGATGTTACCATGATGTACGTGCTATCATTCTTTCATAAGCAGGGTGGTCTGCCTGGCTGATTTTTTCCTCACAGCATAGCACAGCTGGTTAAGTTAGCACTCTTCTGTTTGTGTTTTTCACATGAAAAATTTCCAAATGTTCCTTGTGCTGCCGTTTGTCATTGTGGTGAAGGAGAGGGGAAAAATCTCCATAATGGTTCTATTGGCATAAAATACAAGGGACATCTGCAGCATAAAGAAGACTCAGTTCTTGGATTAATGCAACAAACATTTCCTACTGCTGTCTCCTAATCAAATGTTAGTGCACTCAAGTCTGGTCTGTGTAGCATCTCAGAGTAACTGGAAACACTGTGCAAATAGGACAGAATATTTTTTTTGCAACAGGAGACTTGGATGCTTTCCTCAAGGGTAGTCCTTGCTGAGAACTTAAAAAGAGATGTTTTTTGAAGCCTTTAAAGAGATATTTGTTGGTACAGGAATGACCTGGGAGAAGAGCAGATTATGTCTTATTTAGTCCCTGTTTCACCTTGCCAGGAACAATTTGATTTGATTCAGGATTTGAAATGCAGTAGTATGATAACTAATTGCCAAAACATGTGGCATTTGACCATTCTAATTGTATGTCCAGCTGTAATCTTTTTGGTGAAAAATGGTTATAGTTCTGTACTCATACTCTTTGAATTGTTTAGCATTTCATTTTCTTCCTGGTTTTCTGAAAATAAGGACAAACCTGATAATGAAATTTGACTACTCCAATTTCTTTGCAACAATAGAATGAGAATTTTTGGTTTTAAAAGTGTAGTGTCTCTTTGGATCTAAATAAAACTTTTATACTTCTAGCTTTCTCAAAACAAGTAGGAATTTTTTGTTTGATTTGCTGGGTTTGGGTGAATGAATGTTTTGAAATTCCTGGACTTACCTTGTTTGGGCTTTTCTTACTGTTTTGTTGTCCTGTGAAATGCAGTTTTTTGACATTTTCAGCAATGAACAGTTAGATATTAATTAATATTATTAGGCTTTATATAATAACTTTCTGTTGAGGGTTAGGTGTCCTTTTTTTTTGTTTTTGTTTGTTTTGTCGTTCTGGCCTGCCCGGGGAATTTTTACCCATTATGTGCTGGGACAACCTAACTACCGGTACTTAGGGGTGATTGACAACGGACAAAGAGTGGCCGGGCCCAGGGGGGGGGGAAGGGGGCAGAAAAGGAGGGTGGGGACAGTTTTTAGCTGGCTTTTCTTCGGCTTCGGGGAAGGACGTTCGTGTGCTGGGGCGCGGAGCTGCTGCGGTGGAGAGAAGGGAATTTCGCCATCACCCAGACGGAGCAGTTGCTTCTTCTCCTTCTCCCCTCTTGGCTGGTGGCCTCGCACCCCCTGCCCTGCCGGGACGTGTGGCAGCCACCGCCGCAGAGCTGCTGATACACCTCATCCACCGGCCCAGGATCTCAGCTCGTCCCTGCTGTTTCCAGCCGACTGTTCCTCGGAGCCCTGCAGGAGCACCGGGACTGACTGCCCGAGGGGTTTGTGAAAAACAAAACCTCTCCCCCATCCCATCTCAGCTGAGAGAGCTGTCCCGGGGTCCCTGGTTCTGTGTTCTTGTTATTGCTGTAGTTATTGTTTGTTTGTTTGCCTGGTTATACTAGTAAAGAACTGTTATTCCTATCCCCAGATCTCTGCCTGAAAGCCCCTTGATTTCAAATTTATAATAATTCGGAGGGAGGGGGTCTACATTCTTTCATCCCAAGGGAGGCTCCTACTCTCCCTAGCAGACACCTGTCTTCTAGAACCAAGACACTTTCATATGAATATTTCAGCACTTTTAGGATTAATTAATCCTTCAAAGCATAGTATGCAGTATTATTTTAGGCCTAGAAGACAGAATCAAGAGCTAGGTTTATTTAAAGTGATATGGGAGTGTAGTGATGTCCGGTTTTCCCCTGATTCCACAACAGAGTGATCTTTTGTAATTCTGACAACCATTTCAAGATGAAGTCTGCCTCCTCTTAAGTCTTTGTGCATCATACATGACACTGAAGGAATCTGAAAGCAAAAATGGGGAACTGAATTGCTGACAGTTGTGGTCTGTGATTGAATGGAGCTAAACATCAGAAGAAGACAGGATCAGAGGTGAAGGTTTGAGTCTGGCCAAACTTCTTCCTTCAGTGTAGAATGTACTTGGGATTCCAGATATACTGATTGTAGTGTGTAAGTGGCTTTAATTCACAGACTGGGAAATTTGATAACCTAACATGGCACTTGAGACTATGCTTCCTTTACATGGTTATTCACGTAATTCCACTAATTTTAGATGAGTCATGATTTTGAGGTAACTAAGGCATTCTAAGTATTTAACCACAGTGTTTCTGGAAAATATAAATTTAGAATCTCAAATGCTGGTAAGCACACAGTCCTTATTTAAAAATAAACTTTTCTTTTTTTCTTTTAAAGTTTCAGGATTATAGATGGTATTGAGTCATGATATTTGTTTTTAATTAATCAGTGTACCGCCAGTGTACTGTTCTTTGATGGAATAAAATTAAAATGTTTATTGGACAGGCATTGACTGTGTGGCTGATTATTATGTAATTACGCAGCATAACCACAGGCTGCAGGGAATTGGAGTGATGAGTTTCCTCATGTTCAGGATGTCATTAATAATAAACAAGATATTTTGTTTCTTAAATACTTTGTTTAATGGGTTCTCTGTATTTAAGCTGACTAGGTGGTACAGCTGACAGTTTCCCTGATTCCTATGATATTCCATCTCCACTGGTAAAGATGAAGTGCATAATTGAGCCTTAATACATTTCCAGTAGAGGAGGATGCTGTGCAGGCCTTTTTCCAAATGTGATTGACACAGTAGCAAGCAAATAAATAAATTAATAAATAAGCAAGCAAACCTCTGTGTTATTAAGCTTCTGCTGTTTTTGCCAGACTGGTGTCAAACATAAACTGTACTTTGAACTAACTCTAGTTGGAAGCAGATACAATGTGCGTGGACTAAAATTAGAGCTAATTGCCACTTTTTTGTCTCTTTATACACAGGTGTCACACTAATGGCAGACAGCTCTAGTCTGGGTAATGAGGCTTTTCAAAGGTGGCAGTGCCTTATTTACTTGGCAGATCAGTTTAACCCTCTCTTCCAAAAGTACAAACATCGGATTTAGTTCCTTAAGTTCCATCTTAGTATCCAGTTTTTCGGCACTTCTCTAATCTGCGCCATAAACTACCAACTAAGAACCACGTAGAGTTCAAATGAGTCTTGTGTCTACAGGAGTAGCATGCAGGTGGGGCCAGGCTTTCCCCCCCCTGCATGAGGTGGGTCAACATGTTCTGGGGGCAACTCAATGCACCACCCCACAGAAAGGGCTCTCACAGGCTCCATTTCTTGGCTGGTAAAGTTCCTGTGCTCTGGTTCCTATGTAATTTCTCACCCCTCCCTTTGTTGCCTGGGAGATGAATTCTGCTTCAGGAGCCCATCTGTAATTTGGGGAGTTTCAGTATGTTTCTGGTGCTGAGAAGTGACACAAAGATATATATACCGGTGCTGGAGGGAAGCCAGCTGGTAAAACCACAATGAATCTAAGTAAGTCTGACCTAAATCAAATGGGTTTATTTTTGTCTTACAATGAAGATGGATAATATTGGTGCTCTGTCGGTGCAGAAACAGCTGTGGCTGCTGCATCTGACTGAAGAGATTTACCAGCAAAGACTGATATCAGGGTATTTCCTGATGAGCACAATCCAGTGTGACACAGCACTGTGGCACC